AAGATTTACACGATGCCCAACCAGGGCTGCCGAACAGTGCAAGAGAAAGTGGCCACAGGGTCACTGGTGCTCCCCACTGCAGGCACAGACCCATGCGAGTTATTTGGCTTGAGTATGGTTACCGTCCAAGGGTGAACACATAGTTTCCATTAGGTTTTTGAAAAGACACTGACTATAATGCCCGCACTACTACTTTGCAGGTCCTGCAGACCTCCCCCACTCCTAGGCCCTTCCCAAGGTCCTTTCAGAACTTAGGAGACCAGGCCTGCCTTCCTGGGTTTTCCCTGAACCAGCCTTTGCCACCTCTGGACCCGGGTTTCCCAAATGGAAAACCAAGGTGTGGTTATGGGCATTTCCTAGGATCCTCTCAGCAGTGACTCTGGTGTGGTGACAACGGCTGCCTGCAGATGGCAGGAGAAGGGTGACATGCTTACTGCATCTGTGGATGCCCTCCCAAGGCTGCTATACCCAAGTGTGTGGGGGCGCTGAGGGTGCTGCTCTGGCGGGACCACCTCTCTGAATATGGTGCCTGTTTGCCAAGGGCAAGGGGCCTGGGGGTCATCCACCCAATGCTGTCAGAGGAGCTGCTGCTTATCAGTAGACAGCACTCTGACCTTGAACCCTTCCCAGGCCTCCCAAGGCCTGATGATTGTTAAGCCAGGCCCCAGAAAGCAAACTGCCTCTCCCTTCTCCCATCTGGTCTCTATATACTGCATCTCAGGACAAACGTTCTCACTCAACAGGGCTGAAAGAGAAGACTGCAGTTAGCTTTCTAGAATCTAAAATGTGCTAAGGGGAAGATCTTAGAGACCATCTAGTCTAAGCATCTCATTACATACATGAGAAAAGTGACACACAGACAGAGCTGGAACCAGGCCTCCTGACGTTCTGCCCACCTGGCTGTGGGCTCCACCTAATAAACGCAAGCTTGATTTTCAAAAGTACCACCAACTCAGGGTCAATGCTAAACTGACTGCTCTTCCTGCCCGTTAGATCAGGTAAAGGTTTCTTTCTTTCTTTTTTTTTCTTAAATTAACTAATTAATTTATTTTTGGCTGCACTGGGTCTTCGTTGCTACGCGCAGGCTTTCTCTAGTGGCAGTGAGCAGGGGCTACTCTTCGTTGTGGTGCATGGACTTCTCATTGCGGTGGCTTCTCTTATTGCAGAGCACAGGCTCTAGGCGCGCGGGCTTCAGTATTTGCAGCACATGGGCTCAGTAATTGTGGCTCGCAGGCTCTAGATCGCAGGCTTAGTAGTTGTGGCTCATGGGCTTAGTTGCTCCGCGGCATGTGGGATATTCCCGGACCAGGGCTCAAACCCATGTCCCCTGCACTGGCAGGCGGATTCTTAACCACAGGGCCACCAGGGAAGTCCCAGGTAAAGGTTTCTTTAAACAACCTGTCCCTCATCACAAACTGAAACTCCTCCACTGCCTTTGTGCCCACCGGCCAATGAGGACCATTCTGAGCTATGGCAGATGGCAGGCACTGGCTCCTCTCCTCAGCACAGCTAGCTTTGAAGAGTAATTTTGTGATGACATGAAAAATGTGTTGCATCCTGCCCCTTGTGTTTTACAAAAACTGGTGAAAAAAGGAAACACTAAGGTTCTGATGCTACTGAAAACACTGGTCTCATAACTCAGTACAACTCAGACAAGTCAGGAATCACAGGGAATCCTGGAAGCCTCAGTGTGACCATCATGAGGCTTAATTCATTCACACTATGTTCAACTGTGATGGAAAAAAAAACATTGTGGGGGAAAAAAAGGAAAAAAAAGGAAAGAAATGTCTAATACTGAAAACTGCTACAAGGAGAAGCAACCGCTGGCGTTTGTAACTGCTTTAACTCTCCAAGATCTGCACTTAGCTCATTACATGAGGAAGACACTACCGCTTGGTGTTTGCACATCTAAATTGCATATCCATAATTGAAAAGTATATGTGTATGTGCATGTACACACACAGACCTGGGACTGCCAAAAAGGCCTAGTTTGAGGCAATCTGGAAAAACTTAATCTACTTGGTATAAACTACCAGTGAAGAACCAGTTGTAGGGTTTTCCTAAAGTCAGTCATCCACATGATTTAACAAAGTGCTGAAAAGTCACTTTTAGTTAAGGATTAAAGCATAAGGCTCTTTCTTTCCCCTGTACTAACTCAGAGTTAGTTCAAGATATCCGAAGTGTCAAGCGCTTCCGAATTGCTGATAGATCTAACTCGGGAGCTGCGGCCTTAGCCATCCAAAAGCAAGTATCCTCCTCCCAACCTGTTTCCTCACTGGTAATCAAAGGTCAGAACAACTCCCCGCCCACCTCAAAGTTCACGAACACGAAGGGAGTGAGCCCTCACTAAGCCCCGTGTTTCGAACATATGATTTCAGGATCCCAGCTCCAGCAGTGTGGGACGGGTGCGCGTGAGGGGTCCAACATCTCCCCCCACGTGTCGCAAGAGATAACTTAACACCCCGTTTCTATGTGTCCGGCTGGAGCTGTGGAACTCAGCGTGGCCCCGTGGCCCCGGGACGCCGCAACCCTGGCAGCCCGCGACTCCGCAACACCTGTGGGTGAACCGAGCGCGGGGCTGGGGCCTGCTCAACCACGCCCCGGTCAAACCGCGCCCCCAGACACAGACAGACCACGCCCCACTGGCCGGCCGCGCACGCGCACGCCCGCCCGTTCGCCGCGATGAATGGAGACGCGCGTTCCCGGCGCGCAGACCCGCCCCGAAGCTCCCGCGGGGACCAGGCCGGCCCGGGGCCCGGAGAGAGAGGACGTGCCGCGGGCTACCTCAGAGCCGATCATGTAGAACTCGCCGTCGTCTTCCAGCTGGAACTTGACAGGCTTCTGCCCGAAGGTCTTGCTCAGCGCCATCATCATCATTGCGGCGGCAGAGTCGGGCGGCCACGATCGGGCTGCGAGGGTCAGGAGGGCTGAGGCGGGGCCGGGGTGCGCCGAGCCCAGGGAAGCCGAAGCCGGAGGCGAAGGGCTGGCCGAGCCGGGCCGGGTGCTTGCGCCGCAGCAGACGACGACCAGGCCGCACTCAGTGCGCAGGCGCGGGCGTTGACGCTGACGCGCGCGCCGCTGCCGCCCAAACAAAAGGCCGAGCGCGCCCCCGCGTGCCCCTTAAAGGAGTCTCGACACGTTTCTCTTCCTCCCAGGCCGCCTCCCAAGTGGAGGTACCAGGGAAAATTTCTCAAGGACAGAAATAGCAACCGCGACCCTGACTCAGGCGGTGGTCTTCCCAGCCTCACAGCTGGGACTGTAACTCAGCCCAGTGAGGAGGAACGAGGCGAGGCCTGAAGGCCTGGAGGAGGCCAGAAGCACATATGCCTCAGTTTCCTCGGCCCAAGAACTCAGTGCAGCTGAGCGGATAGGAGGGCTCAGGGACCGCTATCCCAGCTCCGGGCCCACACTGTTCCTGTGGCTTTGGGGATGGGGTTGGCAGGATTTCAAGGCCCAGGTGGTGTTTGGTTTGGCTGGTGCATCCTCTGAGTGCTGGGGTTGGCGGGGGCGGGGGGACCGTCTCCATTCCCTCTTTAACTCTGCACTTTATGCCTACCCCAAGCTGGATGCACTGAAGCCAGACAGCCCTGCCCTGGGGCGCTTACAGCTGGAGCGGGGCCTGACACAGGAAAGCATCAAAGCATCCGTGTATCCGGTTGAACAATTGCAGTAGGTCAAAAACGGCCCACTGCTGACAATTTCTATGGTTCCATCTGATAAATGGCAGCCTTGGTAGGTGCCACTCCGAAGAACATTCGCGTGGGGCTGGGTGGCAGGCGAGGAGACCCTGGAGAGTTAGGAATGGTTGGCGGTGGTAACCATGAGTTTTGTTCTGTCTTGACAGCGGCAGGATAGGGGCTGGAGCGTGGCATGATCAGAAAGAGTGAGCACCACTTGGAGGAGAGTATGAGGGGCCATTGGGGAGGCAGGGAACAGATAAAGCCACTCCATGCATCCAGCAAGATGAGGAGGAGCCCTAAGCAGGGCACCCGGCCCCGAGGACCAGGGGCTTGGGGGTGGGGTGGGCTGCAACCCTGGCTCCCAGGGCAGAGCAGGTCCCCAGCCAGGCCTCCCACCTCCCTGGCCCAGCTCCCCCCCGATCCTGGCCTTGCAGTCACAGAGACACCCCAGGCAGGCAGGTAGAAAATGACCATGTTTAATGACAGTCCTCAGTAAAAAAAAAAAAAAAAAAAAAAAAAAAAAAAAAAAAAAAAAAAAAAAAAAAAAAAAAAAAAAAAAAAAAAAAAAAAAAAAAAAAAAAAAAAAAAAAAAAAAAAAAAAAAAAAAAAAAAAAAAAAAAAAAAAAAAAAAAAAAAAAAAAAAAAGAAAAGGCTTTATATACACTGTACACATTTACATGGCTTTGGAGGGCTTGGTGTGGGGTGAGGTCTGGAGAGGATCCGACCCGTGATAGGATTGAGGTATGTTGGGGCCTCCAGGTCCTAGGGTCTCTGGCAGGAAGCACCCCCCTCCCCAGCTGCCTGGCCCTTGTGCCCTGGATCCTGGGGAACAGGTCTCCAGAACCACCAAATGGAAGGCAGCCAGTTCCAAGCACCTACCAGAGCTGACTTCTCAGGAAAAGACAGAAGGCACAGTGCCCTGGGACCCACATGCCAGCACCCTGTGGTACCCCACAGCCAGGACAGTGAGGGCTCCAACTCCCCCAGCCCTGCTGAGGTGCTACTCTGAAGGATGGGGACAGAGACCCAGGGCAGCTGGGTTTGACTGTGACCAGCACAGGTTGGGTGGAGCTGGCCTGAGGCCACCCTCACCCTTAATGCCGGAGCCTCCCTGCCCAGTCTGAGGCAGTCACTGGCAGTGGCCACGACCCGCGCGGCCCTTCCTGCAGTCCTGATGGCAGTGCCCGCCTCCCTCCCCACCCCCGAGTAGGCACAGCTCCGTGCCGCGCCCAGTGCCCACAGCCACAAAGATGGCCATGGTCTCCAGCCAATGTCAGTGTCCTGGCAGGGGTTGGGGCCCTGAGGACATCCAAGCCGTGGTTAGTGGAAAGTATTGGCAGGCTCGGTACACCGAAAGAAGTCGGGGCCCACGAGGCGGGGGAAGCCCTCCAGGGCCTTCACCTTCACAGGGTCAAACTTCCAGTAGAGGCGGCCGCGCAGGAAGTAGGCATAGCCTGAGGAGACAGGAGGGTCAGGCAGGGCGGGTGGACACAGGGGCAAGTCCCAGTGGGCAGACCTTGGCCACTGCTGAGTTCCTTGAAACCTGTAGACCCCAGGGTGTCCCTTCCAAAACCTCCCTTTGGGCAAGCCCTTCTGCCTGCCCCAGGGTCTGGTCTGAGCTACCACCCAGCCTGACAGAGGCCAGAGCCTCGGAGGCCCAACTCCTGCCCCTCAGGAAAGCAAATCCCGCCCCTCTCACCACCCCTCCTGTGCCTTGAGTCAGATGGGGGACACTGGCAACCTGGAGCCCAAGAGCCCGAGGCCACTACAGGACAGCTCTCCCAGCAGGTCCTGATGTGGGGGAGCACAGAAGCAAAGCAGGGACACAGGAGAGAGCGCTGGACTGTGAGTCCCAGATCTAGTGCTCCAAGATCACAGGAGGCAGGTGGCTCTTGGCTAGAAGCAGGGACTGCCTGGGTGGAGGTCCTGGCTCTGTCCACCTTGGTGGCCCCGGTTAGGTACCTCACCACCTGAATCTCTGTTTGCTCTTCTGGAAACTGGGTTCATAACAGATGCTACATCGGGAAATCGCATGAGACATGTACAGAGCTCAACACTGTGCCCAGAGCCTCGTTGGCCCTCAGCAAGCAGCAGTTATTACTTCACCAGGCACGACCGAGGGACCTCGGCAAGTCCTTGCACCTCTCTGGCCCTCAGTCTTCTCATCTGCAGCACAGGGGTCTAGCACTGCCCTGGCACAAGGAGGGGGTGGAGAAGGAGTTCGCCAGGCAGAGGACCCGCAATGAGAGCTGATGCCCAGCCACCACTGGTGGGAGATGCAGCCACCACCCCACTTCCCCCAGCCACCCCACCCCCAGCGCACCGTCAGCATCCTGGAAGGCAGCGTCGATCTCAGAGGGCACCCCTCGCCAGTCGGTGGCCCGGCGGGGCACAGGGCTGTCCACACGGCGGGTGCTGGGGTGGAAGCGCCAGTAGTCTCCGCCTCGGAAGAAGTAGATCTTGTTCTTCTCGGGGCCCCAGACCAGGGCGGCGTGGACCAGGGGCCCCAGTAGGCCCAGCTCAGAGAGGGGCGCGGGGCCCAGGACTGGCTTCTCACCATCGTATACCCAGTATTGAGCCCCTGTTAGAGAGTGGAGGCTGCAACAAGCTGCCCAACTGCCACATCCAGCCACTGTGGACCCGCCCAGCCACCACCATGGCCATGGACTTTCCCAGCCTCAGTTTCCTTGTCCGTAAAACATGAAGGCCAGTAATGCCTGCTTGGCACCCTCCACCCCCAAGTAGGACATTGGGCAATGCAGGCACTGGGAGGTACACGTGGGGAAGTTTACCCTAAGCAGCAGAGAGGCCGCCTGGGCTCCTGCTCCCTCCCTGCACTTGGCTGCCACGGACAGGCACCTGCTGCCCATCCCTGGGCCCAGCCCTGCCGCAGCAGGCCCTAGCTGGGCCTTTGTGAAGTCCCTGCTGCCCGCAATGCTCCAGGCTCTCATCTCTGCCAGACCCAGATCACATCCCTCTCTGCCTTTTCCAAGCTGTGCCTTCATGCAGGTCACTTCACCACCTCTGAGCCCCGGAGCCTCATCTCTAGACCAGGGGTAATGATCACACATGCTCCACGGGGTGTGATACCTTCAATTCCACTCCAACCTCGAGAGCCGCTTCCTCTAGGAAGCCTCCCAGCTGTGCCCAGAGGAGTGAGCCATACTCTTCCTTGGCCCCAAGAGTTCGAGGCACCCTCCATCTGTTCATCATGTGTGCCATCTGTCCCTACCCTTGACCATGATATTCCTGAAGTGTGACCTCCAGCCCCCACTCACCTTGGAAGAACCAGATGTGGCCCTGGGCATCCTCGAAGGCTGCATCCACGGAGGTGGGCAGCCCCGGCCAGTGGCGCGAGGCCAGCGCGGGGTAGCCGGGCTGCAGCTGGCCCCCGCGCAGCCGCCATACAAAGCCTGCCTTGAAGAAGAAGAGTTCGCCGCGGATGGTGGCGACCGCATCAAAGGAGACCTGGCAGGCATCTGGTGGGGCATCTGGCTGGGGTAGGAGAGAAGGGTCAAAAAGAGCCTGCACTGGAGCCACAGAGGCCAGCAGTGGGGGTCAGGGCTGGAAGCAGGGCCTCGCCTCCCGCCTCCCCACCCTCCTGGGCCTCACCTCCAGTGGTGCAATCTCGTTGGTGTCCACCCCGGCCCCGGGGCCCAGGTCTGGGGGCCTAGAGGTGGGGGCTAGTCGAGGCCGGCCGTAGAGGTGCTGGATGCCCCTGCGGTCATCCGGGCTGAGGCTCAGCGGGTATCGGAAGGTGTAGAAAGGGGACATGAGGGCCTTAGCAGCTGTCGTGTGCTGCAGCCCGAGCACATGGCCAAATTCGTGGGCTGCCACCTGCAGGAGGTCTGTGCCTGGAAAAGGGAGATAGCCCAGCAATCCCCGAGCTCCTGCAGCAAGACACTGAGCTGCGGGCCCAGCTCAGGGACCTCGGCAAGTCCCCATTCTCTATGATGTTCAGTAGCCCCATCTGGAAAGTGGGTCCCCAGCCCATACCCTGGTTGTCCCCGATTGTCCAGGTCTCGTCATAGTCGAAGTGGACATCCCCTTCTCGGTGGGTCTTGGGGAAGAAGGCATGGGCCAGGATGCCCCCAGGTCCATCAAATGGCAGGTTGTCCCCATGCCAGTACCTGCAGGGGAGTGGGGGCAGAGTCAGTGGCTGCTGATGGGTGGGGCTCATTCCTAGAGGGGTCCCCGGCCACTGGCTCACCTGGTGAAGTCGATCATGATGTCAGCGTGGCCCTCGTGCACCTCGGTAAAGGTGAGTGGCGTCACATCACTCCATACCTGTAGGGCCTCTGCCACCGTCTGCCGCACCTGTTCCCGCACCAGCTGCCATGGGAACCGGAGGATCCTGGGGGAGGAGCAGGGGCCTGGACCTGGCTCATGGGGCAGCGTCAGCCCCTGATGGCTGTTGGGCCACGAGTTGCCCCTGGATGCTGCTCAGTGGGGGAGCAGGCATGCACGACACAGGCCAGGTGTGCCCTGGGCCTCAGGTGTGGCACACCAGTCCCTCTGCCACATGGGCACATCTTTGTGTGTGTTTGTGTCCTCAGGTGCCCATGGGTATCTGCACTGGGTGGAAAGAACACAGGACCAGGAGCCCCGAGGCCCACCTTCTAGACCTGACTATACCGCTCACTGTAGGGAGACTTTGGGCCCTAGACCTGCCGCCTCCTGGTTCCCAGCTCCCCACCCAGGACATTTCCAGAGCCCCCAGCAGTCTCGGCTCCAATGCCTCGGGGCACCACACCAGTATTCACACCTTCTCTCCCAGGATGAGCCCCGCTGCATCACCCCGAGGGGCCTCAGGTCACCTGAGCTATTACCTGTCCTGCCACTGCTGCTCCCTACCTGCTTGGATCCCAAGTTGCAGCGATAGATATGAACCCGGTGTGGATAACACCTAGCTCGCTGAGAGGAGGGGCCGTGTCTGCCTCATTCACCACAGAATCCCAGGACCTGGCCCTTAGTGCATCCCCACAGAGGCTGCCTGGCTGACTGAAGGCTGTGTCCCCACATGTCTACAGTGTGACCAGGCATGTGCTGAGACTCCTCTGCTGAGGGAGGGCATGGGTACAGGGGGTACCATCTGTGTGGGCATCTAAGTGTGGATTTGGGGTGTTGACCCAGGGGGCTTGGGGGCCAGTGGATACACCAGCCTGTTACCATGGGGATCTGGCACAAGTGTGTCTCAAGAAGCAGGGTGAGGGCGGTAGGTGGAGGGCGAGAGCCTGCTCGCAGCCCCTGGCCCTACCTGTAGGTGAGGTCCGTCTTTTCCCAGCGCCCGCCCGACAGCACAAACCGCTTTTGTCGGTTGTGGGCGCTCGGCCCGTCCAGCAGGTCAAGCACGCCGCAGCGGGGAGGTCTGGGGCCGGCGGCAGGCTGAGGGGCCTCCTGAGCGGTCGGGGCAGATGCTGGGCTGCTGGGAGGAGCTTCACGCCAGGGCTGTGGACCCCTCCTCACTGGGTGGCGGCGGTGGGCATCCTGTGCAGGAGAGAGGATGCAGGGGCCTGCTCAAGCCTTGGGTCCTGGTGGCCCATGGTCAGAGGTGTGGACGGTCAGCGCACCCTCACTTGACCCCAGCCGGCCGTGTCGAAGGCCAAGCTGAGGCCGTCACGCAGCAGAGCCCTTTGGCGCAGGCTGACTGGCGTCCAAATGCTGATTCCAAGGCCTCATACCACCTCCTGCCCCCTTGTGGAGGGCCTGGGCTGCCGGGCACCTACTCCCGCCATTTGGGCTGGTGAGGACTGGGTCGGGGTGCGGTTCTGACTGTACTCTTCACACACACCCAGGAAGGGACCCCACAAAGCTTCCAAGGAAAGGCCAGGGAAGCTCCCCCTCCACCCCCCCAGCAGATACCTTTCCACCTCCCTTTCTTCCTGGGCGCCCCCGGCCCCCACTCTGCCCTCTCCAGTTACGTGAGCTGGCTCCTGCCCAGGACAGCTACTGCAGCCACTCCCCAGCGTGGAGGGGCTGCAGTCCTGCCTCAGTCTGCTCACCTGACAAATGGGGACGACACTTCCCCAGAGCGTGGATCTGAGGATGAAGCAGGCAGTGCACACAAAGTGCGAAGGGCACCGGGAACTGAGGTCTGATTGCTGGTGGCAGTCTTGCTCACGCCCTGCCAGGGCTGGGTACACGGCGGGGCTAGATGTGCTCTGTTTGCCCCCTCCACAGGGGTATGTGGGGCAGACAGTTACCAGACACCCAGCCCCACCGTGCCAGAGCCCATGGACCACAAACTGTGATTCTGACCTGCAGCTCCCACCCTCCGAGAGTCCCAGGATGGAGGTCGCAGTTCTCACGCATGGAAAAAACAAGCTCAGAGAGGTAGAGAGACCCGGCGGGGTCACCCAGCAAGGGCATGGCTGGGCCAGGTGAGGACTCTAGCATCCCAGGCAGGGGGCAAAGGCCCGGCTTGGGACACAGTAAAGCTGGGGGAGAGGCACAGAGCAGTGCCGTCTGCTGAGAGACTCAGCGCCTGTCTAGTCTGGGCCTGTCTGGTCAGGGCCGCTGTGGCCTCCCCACAGCCATATTTGGGGCGGGAGCTGGGCCACCCGGGCCCCACCCTCGGCCTCAGCCTCTGGCGGCTCTCCCAGGCCCTGGGTGCCCTAGAGCTCTGATGAGCATCCTAACCCCCCCAGCTCCCGATTCCAGAGCCACCAAGAACTCAACACCCTGGAGCCACTCAACCCCCAAGGACTCCCCATGATGAAGGGGTCCTCTAGACACCTGGAGCTTCTGGGGTGTGAGGCCCTGGGCCAGTTTTCCCCATTTCAGAGTTGCTTCTTGAATGGCTGATCACCTGACAGAGACCAGCCATACTGAGTGTGCCAGTACTAAGTACTGATGGCTGTTGCAGCTCACCCGTATCTAGGCTAGGATGCTGCCAACTGCTCCACGGACACGCTCTCAGCCCCTGATGGGACCTCCCACCATCTCTGCAGTCATCATCCCCATTTCTCAGGTGAGGATCCGGAGCCCAGAGAAGTTAAACAACTTGTGGGGGGCACAGCTGGCAGGTGGCGGGCTGTCTGCACTCACAGCCCACCTGCTACTTGCTACTCTGCTCTGCTCTTCAGGCTGGGGTCACCCTACCCCTGGAGAAGGGACCCATGCTGGCCTCACCTTGGTGACAGAAGAGAAGGAAGGGGAAATGATTAAGTACCTGCCACTTCCCAGGCACTCTGGAGGCAGGTTCACTGAACCTCCCCACCTCCATCCCCGGCATAAGTTGGGGAGGATACGCATGCCAGGTCTCACATCAAGGATGTGGACCCCAGACTTACGTGACGAGCCATGACGGCCTGCACCTTCCCCTCCCCAGGAAGGTCTAGCCCATAGACCTCCAGGATAAATAGATTCCTTCCCCCCAACCCTGGCCAGGGTCTGAGGACCCTCCCCAGGAAGGCCAGGGCTGCGTCGTTCCTGGGAGCCCCAAACAGCCCAGAGCCCAGCCTGCAAGCTCTGTTTATGCCTGCAAGCAGAAATTGCTCCTCTCCTCTGCCCCCGCAGTGAGGCCTGAGCACCCAGCCACAGAGGGAGGTTGGGTGTGCCTTCCTTTCCCGCCCCCACGAGGCACCAAGTCCTCATGGATCCCCCACGAGGACCCCTGGATCATGGGGCTGTCAGTGCAGCAGAAAGAGCCACGGGCTGAGATTCAGAAGGCCCAGTTCTGTGCTGTGGAGACCCTGAATGGAGTGACCCTGGGCAAGTCACTGTCCTCTCTTAGCCTCGACTCTCGTATCTGTCAAATGGGAATGGTGCCGTGGCAAAGGGCTAAATGACCTCCATCTGTAATGCCCGCTGCAGCATCTGGCGCAGAGAAGAGCCTCTTCCTGGTCTGGCTTCTTGCCCCGTGGGCCCTCCCCTCCCACACCTGGGAATCTGCTCCACCCAATTCCCTACAGCTCCCCTGAAGTTTCCAGACTTTAAATCGTAACAAAGGAGTTGCAGCTAGAAGAGGGAGCTCTCAGGCCCAGAGAGGAAAAGTGACTCGTGCTGGGTCCACCCATGAGCCAGGGGCCTCTTACTCCCCGCCCACATCACGTTCATTGGTACTGGAGAGCGAATGAGCAGGAGGCACTAGGATCAAGGCCCCTGGGCAGTGGGGTCTTTTTCTTGGAGCCCACCATTTAAGGGCTCTTGGCCTCAGTTTCCCATTGCTGGGATAGGACACATGCTCCCTGCCCTGCCGACCTCCCACACTCTCTTCCCAAGTCCTTTCCGGCCTGGGGCCAGGGGCCCTCCCTAGCTGCAAGGCCTGGCACGCAGCAACCTGATTCCTCAGATGGGTGTGCCAGTCCCCCCAGGGCAGCTGGGAGGCAGTGAGGTGTGGGGTGGGCATAGACCATGCCTGGCCTCATCTACAGCCCTGGGGGATTGGGGAGCAAGTATCACCCCATTTCCCAGGGGAAGGAACAGAGCCCAGAGAGGTCAAGGTCTTGGCTCAGTGTCACACAGCAATTCAGCCAAGAGCTGGCCCTAGACCTGGGGTTCATGCCTCCCCATCCATAGCCCCCCATCCCCCCAGCTCTGGCCTGTCTCCAAAACCCACATTCCTGAGAAATGCGCCTCTTTGGAGAAGGTCTGCCTCCTCCTCGGCCAGCGGCCTCCCTCAGCCTGCCCTGGGGAGGGTGCCCAGCTCCTTTACCCCACCCTTCTCTGGCGGGCACCAAACCACAGCCTCAAACATACTCGAGGAATTTCTTGGGGAACTCAGCCTCCTGGCTGAGCTAGAGGCTTGGGGTCAGCCCCTGGGTCAACCTCCAATTAGGAAAATGGGAGGTACCTAGCAGAGGGGAGGTGAGGGAAGACCCCAGATTGGAAAGTGCTGGGTCTGTTTGCTGTTGGCCCAGCGGGACAGTTACTCATAGCTACTCTCTCTACTGTGGGCAGGAGGTGACCCTGAGGGGAGGGCATTTGGTTAGACTGTGAGGAAGGCAGGGAGCATCACCACGCCATTCTATGCCCCTCTGAGGCTCAGAGAGATCAAGCAACCTGCCCAAGTCACACCGCTAGTGGGCAGGCAGGTCCATCTCCCCCCACCTCCCCCGCTGGCTCCAGAAGGGAAGGCAGCGTCCACCCCACTGGGCGACGGGGCTTTCATCAACCCTGAAGGCTGTGAACTGGGATGGATAAATATTTACAGAGCTTTTCTGGCCCTGCCAACAGCAGTCTGGGGATAAACACATCGGAGGCGACCCCAAATGCTCCCTGCATATCTGCAGCGTGACAGACAACGACCCAGCTCAGACCCAGCCCCGACTGACACAGCACAAGTGGCAAAGTAGCAGCTGCAGGTGAAGTCTCCAGTGTGCCTGGCTGAGCCCTCTCCTGGCCTCACCTCATATACTCTTCAGCCCAGCAGTGGGCACTGTTGCCTCCCACCCACCCAGACAAGACTGGGGTCGGGGGTGCTGAGGCTCCAGAGGGCTCACCTAGGGTCACGTGGTTCAAACCCAGGTTTCTCCCATACCTGAACCCCATGGATTCAACAGCTACCCAGGGTGATTTCTGACTCTGCCCCAAGGTCTAGGGGACCAGGAGGGGCTGGGAAAGAGGCAGGGTCCCTGGACTGAGGTGCCCACCACCCCTTCTGTCCTCTCCTGCTCCTATAGCCAGGGCAGGGGAGGGCAGAGCTGGCGTGGCTGGACAGAGGGGCCCAGCCTGGCCAGACCTCCTTCCTCACTGGACTCTACCTGCCACCCCCCTAATGCTCCCATCCCTGCCTGGGCTGGCTGGATGCTCAGCTGGGCGTCTGAGTGGGCTGGGTACCCAGCGGGCTCTGGGCCTGCAGTTGCCCAGGCGTGACCCCAGGCCCACCTGGCCGCCCCTGGGACTGTTCCCCCCAAGCGCCAGCCGGAGGGGAGGGTGCAGTTTTCCCAGGCACACACAGGCTGCCGCGCGCCGGACCTCCTTCCTCTCCAGACCACGCCTTCCTCTCCCTTCCCGGTCTGACCCTACCCCCTGCTCTCTGAGGGTCTCGACTCCCTGCTCTCGGCCCCTTCTTTCTCACCCAACTCATATAACACACACTAGCTCTCACACTCATGCTGCCTCCTGGCTCCACGCTCCCCAATATCGCCAGTCTCAGGTGCCAGGCGCCTCCTCCAGACCCTCCAGACCCCATTTCCCCGGCACCGGCTGCCCTCCCCAGCGCTTCCTTAACCCTCCAGCCTGGAAGTGTGCTCACGGAGGCCACACATCTGGAGGCTGACGCCAGCCTGAGACCTGCTGGGCTTTGTCCCTGCAGTGAATAGGGGGCCCTGTAGACACTCCCGCTGTACCTCCCCCAACACACACCCCAGTATCTCGGCCGGGGCGCCGAGGAGCAGGTCCCAGAGCTGGGAAGGTGGTGCGGAGTCCCGCTCACCAGCCTGAGCGATCCCGGCGCAGGCTCCACTTGCACACCTCCAGGGACGGGAAGTTCACTATCTATCACGCCCCCCAGGGACCCAGACAGCTTTTCGGGTAACGGGCCGCGCCGGGCCACCCCGGGCATCCCCGTGGGTCCAGCTCGGCCACCGGGCCCAGCCCGCGTGCCCGGCGCCCCTCGGCGGGGGGTGGTCAGCGGCGGCGGGCACTCACCGGCGACCGCGGGGCCCGGGCCAGCAGCGGCGGCGGCGGGAGCAGCAGCAGCAGCAGCGGGAGCAGGAGGGTGCGCGGGGCCGCGCCGCGGAGCCGGGCGGCCCAAGCCATCCGCCCCGGGGCTGCTGGGCCTGCTGGGCCGCGCCGGCCACCGCCCCTTATAGCCTCCGCCCCGCCCCCGCCCTCCCGGCCCCGCCCCCGCATCTTTTGTTCTGCACTCGCCCTGTGCTGGCGGCCAGGGTGGGGGAGGTGGGCGGGGAGGGCTGGCCAGGCGGGGGCCGGCCCGCGGACCCAGTCCTTCCCGGGCGGGCCGTCCCTGCGGTCTCAGGGGCCTGGTGCTGGGGAACCCTGGCCAGCCGGTGCTGCTCCGGGCCTCAGTTTCCCCGATGCGGTGGAGAGTCTGAGGGGAGCCGCGTTTCACTCCTCCCCCTCCTGACCAGGCCACCTTTGGGAGGCGTATCCCTAGCTGGTCTCCCCGGGGGCCTGACCTCTGACCTCCTGTTAGTCTGTGACAGGTGGCGGTACCCACGGGCAAGTTCTGCCACTCCTCAGAGCCTCAGCTGATCCATCTGGAAGACGGCACTATAGCCGCTGTGAGGAAAGGGATATTAAAATGTGCCCCAGAGGAAACTGAGGCATATGGAGACGGCTGGCCAGGACCCCAGCTTGGCGCAGAACCATAGACAATTATAGATGGGGAAACTGAAGCCCTAAGAGGGAGGTCGGACGAGATCAGGCTTTTCCAAACCAGCAGGCAGGCAGAGGGGTCAGAAGGTCCTCTACCTGGTCAGCTGGAGGGAGGGTACGGTCAGAAAGCCATGGGGGGCAGTGTGTGAGTGGGGCACTGGGGGCCCAGGCTGCCCCTTGGTCAGGGACTAACAGGCTCCTCTGGGCCCCTGCGGCCCAGCCTCCTGAGACCGGGGATAGGTAGGTGAGAATCAGAGGAGGGGGTGATGACCACACGCTGGAAGGGATCCTCCAGGCTCATATACTCCCTGTGATGACCAGGGACCTCACCAGCTTGCCAGGCAATCCGCTCCATCATGGGCAATGCTGGTGAGCCAGGACATAGGCGATGGCTCCTGTCCTGGCGGGCGGGGTGCTGAGCTGCCTCAGTGTGAGGCTGTGTGCACCCATCCTGGGCCTAAGAAGGGGGGAGGCGGTGTGGGGAGAGGGAGGAGAGGGACACCGGCTGACTCAACCCTCCCTCCGGTTCCAGTCCAGGGAGCCTTCACAGCCTCTCCAGGGAGGCTCTACAGAGACCCCTAGAGTGCAAGGAGAGGAAAGACAGCAGTGATTTTTACTACCTGGGCTGTTTGCCATCTTTTTCTTTAAAGTGATTTACTTTTAAAAATTGAAATGCCTACTTCAGCCTCATTTTAGCCACATTGGTCAAGAAATCATAGATTTAACGCGGAGCGGTTTGGTCGTTAGTCGGAGGAGCTTCTTCCGTTAGTTCGGCGACTGTGGCTCTTCATTGGGCAGCAGGAGCAGCGCGGCTGTCGGAGAAGCGGCGTAGAACTTAGGCATTGGGTGAAAGAAATTGGCCCGAACCAAGCAGACTGCTCGTAAGTCCACGGGTGGCAAAGCGCCCCGCAAACAGCTGGCCACGAAAGCGGCCAGGAAAAGCGCCCCCTCTACCGGCGGGGTGAAAAAAACTCATCGCTACAGGCCCGGGACTCTTGCGCTTCGAGAAATCCGTTGTTACCAGAAATCCACCGAGCTTCTGATCCGGAAGCTGCCTTTCCAAAGGTTGGTGAGGGAGATCGCCCAGGATTTCAAAACCAGCTTGAGGTTCCAGAGTGCCGCCATTGGTGTGCTTCAGGAGGCTAGTGAAGCGTACCTGGTGGGTTTATTTGAAGATGCTAATCTGTGTGCCATCCATGCTAAGAGAGTCACCATCATGCCCAAAGACATCCAGTTGGCTCGCCGGATACGGGGAGAAAGAGCTTTAGTGAAGGCAGTTTTTATGGTGTTTTGTAGTAAATTCTGTAAAATACTTTGGTTTAATTTGTGACTTCTTTTGTAAGAAATTGTTTATAATATGTTGCATTTGTACTTAAGTCTTTCCATCTTTCACTCAGGATGAATGCGAAAAGTGACTGACTGTTCACAGACCTCAATGATGTGAGCACTGTTGCTCAGGAGTGACAAGTTGCTAATATGCAGAAGGGATGGGTGATATTTCTTGCTTCTCATGATGCATGTTTCTGTATGTTAATGACTTGTTGGGTAGATATTAAGGTACTAGAATTGATAAATGTGTACAGGGTCTTTTTGCAATAAAACTGGTTATGACTTGAAAAAAAATCATAGATTTGATGAGCTAATTGTATGTTTTTTTCCGATACACATGAGAATATAGACAGTAAAAATATTTGTGTAAAAAAATTAAAAATATATATACATATATTTGTGTAACTACCTTAAGTGGTCTTGAGTGCCTCCAGGGGAGCATGGCCTTGCTTTGCGGAACCACAGTCCACCTGTCATGGGAGCTCAAGTAACAACCTCCCACATTGTAGGCCGCAGTGGAGAGCCATGGTTACAGCAAGCTGGGCTGGTCACAGAGGGCTTCCTGCAGGAGGAGGACCCTGATCAGCCTAGTAGGGCCAGTTTGGCAATGGGAACAAGTGGTCAGGGGCTGCATGAGCAAAGGGGTGGAGGCTGGACCAGGCCTGGCATGTCTATGAGGAGAGAGTAGCCACCCTTCACATGCTTCCCTCACCTCGAGGCCAATGGTCACCCCCACTACGGAGAGGAGAAAATTTTAGCCCAGGCCCGGATGAGGGTCAGGGGAGGGCCCTGCTTCCCAGGCTGGCTGACAGGACTGTGTGGTTGGGACACAGTAGAGACATGCTGAGCCTGCCAGGCACTGCCCATGTCCCCTCCGTCCCTTCTGCCCCTTCCTCACAGAGGGGCCTCCTCTCCCCACCTGGGACCCCTCCCCCATGATTTTGCTGTGGGTGATTTCATCCTCCCCACAGTCCTGGTGCTGGGAGGACTCCCTCGTGCATAGGGGACAGTGATGAGGGGGTGGTAAAGAGGTCAGGACCTCTCCCCGCTAAGGGTAGCAATAAAAGACTATGAAAACCTCCAGTTCCCGAAGGGCTGGAAAGCGTCCTAAATTCGGCATTGCCCTGCCCTGGGCCTGGAACCAAGGTGGTAAAATTCGAGGCCACAGGATTCAAACCCGCACAAACACCTCTAGGTTATGGCCTTTGGAAGGGACACGCTGCAAAAACGCTGTAGGGGTCTGGCGCTGCATCTGTGGGGCAGGGGGTCGGGTTGGGTGGAGGGCCACGCAGGGGGCCTCGTCGCACCCTAGCGGGGGCTGCCCGCGCCCCGCAGTGATTTTGCCGGGAAGGAGTCCGAGAGCGGTCCGGACGCCCCCTGGCGGGAGCTCCGGGAACCGTCGCGGAGGGTCGGTGCTTCTTCCCCTGCCCAGTCCACCCGCGACCCTGAGGCCACGCCGGAGCCAGCGAGCCCGGTCCGATAGGAGGGGGAGGAGCAGGGACCGGCCTCCCGGTGCCCCCCTTCCCGAGCGCGGGACAGCCCCTAGCTCTACTCCCAGAGCTCCGCGGTGGTCTTTGAAGGGCCAGGCTTCGCTCCTGCGTACGCCCTCGGCGCCCTGCGACAGCGGCCCGTGTCCCCAGGGCGCACATAGCTTAGGCCAGGAGCTGGGAGGGAGCAGGGTCACCGGCAACGGGTGCTGCCTGATGGAGAGGCCGGGTGACCCGCGGGGGTGCAGCCTGGCCCCGGGTCCCGAGCCTCCGGCCGGGGGCGTGTCTCCGCGGCCCCGCCCCGGCCCCGCCCCGCAGCGCCGGCAGTGACAGGCGCCGCCGCCTTCGTCCCCGAACCAGAACAGCAGTCACCGTCGCTGTCTCCGACTCGGCTCAGCCGGTCCCACCGCCGCCACCATGCCCCGGGGGAGCCGCAGCATGGGCGCCCGGCCAGCCAGGTGGGAGCGGGACGAGGCCCTGCAGGGTGGGGTCTGGGGAAGCGCGGCCCCCAAGGACATGACAGCGTGACCTTGGCGGCTGCTGCGCCATCTTGGCGGGGGAGGAGCGGGGGTACCGCAATCAGGCGTCTAAGACGGTGGTCGTCCACCCTCGGGGAGGAGGAGAGGGTGCCTCTCCGGAGCTGCGGGCCCGTGGGGCCGCCGGCCTGGAGTCCGGCCGGGATTAACCCTGCTTCTTCCCATCCCGCAGCCGCAACGCCGCGCCCCCTGCCCCCCCGCCCGCGCACCCGCCGCCCTCGGCCGTGGCCCCGGCCCCCGCCCCGTCGGGCCAGCCCGGCCTGATGGCGCAGATGGCGACCACGGCCGCCGGAGTGGCCGTGGGCTCGGCTGTGGGACACGTCATGGGCAGCGCCCTGACCGGAGCCTTGAGCGGGGGGAGCTCAGAGCCCGCCCAGGCTGCTGCCCAGCAGGTGAGCAAGGGCTCAGGGGAAACTGAGGCCAACTTCTCTCAAGGCCACTGAGCGGGGAGCTGCTGGAACGTCCAGCAAGGAGTGTCCAGGGTGTCAAGAGCTGCCTCGGCCGGGGACTGTGCCCAAGAAGGGTCCTATTAGTCGCTCTGCTGTTGGTCTCTGGTCACAGGCGGGCTCTCCCTGCCCCTCCCCTGAGGCCAAGGTCCCTAGACCCCTGTGGACAGACACCAACCAGCCCTTTAAAGATGGGGAAACTGAGGCCCTTAGGGTCTCAGAGACTGGCCCAAGGTCACCTAAACCTAGTAGAAGGGAGGGATGTTGAAGTTCCTGAGTCCGTGCTCTCTCTCCCAGGTAGCCCCTTCCTGTAGCCCCTGCACCCAAGGGTGAAGGGTAGCCCGTGACTCTGGGTCTGTTCCCTGCTGGCCTGTCCCGCACTGGACACCCCACCAGTCCTGAACCAAATTCTGGCTTAGTGGTGGGGTCGGGGGTAATGAGGATCAGTGTTGCTGAGCAGGAAGATGCTAGAAATTGTGGGGGTGGGGCTCATACTCCAGCAGAGCACTGGGCTTTTCTAGAACCTTCTCTCACCTCCCACCCCCCCCACCTGCCAGCATACCTGTTATGGGGCAGCTGGGAATGCTGTCTGTACCAGCACCAACAGGGTGGCTTTGAGAGGGCTGTGGGCTCACCCTGTTTCAGGGATGGAGCAGCTGAGGCTAAACAGGGCAGGCTGGGCCTGGCAGGGCTGGGGGCGTTAGGAGGGGCAGCCGGCACCCCCAGCTTTGGAGTCCTCTTCTGGGTGCCGACCCCAAGCTGACCTTGCTGCTTCCTGTGCTGTAACCCCAGGCCCCGGCCCGCGCTGCCCCGCAGCCCCAGCAGATGGGGCCCTGCGCCTATGAGATCAGGCAGTTCCTGGACTGCTCCACCACTCAGAGTGACCTGACCCTGTGCGAGGGCTTCAGCGAGGCCCTGAAGCAGTGCAAGTACAACCACGGTGAGCTGGGAGGCCCTGACCCCTGCTGGGGCGGCAGCGGTGGTCCCTCCTCCTGTACCTTCGGCCTGACCTCCACCTGTGCCGGCCCTCCCTCTGCAGGTCTGAGCTCCCTGCCCTGAAGAGACCGGTGCAGATTCAGGGGCCAGCCCTGCAGCCACCTTCACACCTTCACCGACAGCAAGACCATGACATCAGATTGTACCCACATAGCTGGGACTGGGAGTGAGGAGAGGGTTTCTCACCCCACAGATGATCCAAGACGAAAATGTGCAATTAAAAGAGTTTATGTTAGATCCGAGCCTGCTGTGTCCACTCTCATTGGACTTTCTGCGGGTGGGGGAGGATGGATGGATGTCCCACTGTGGAGTGGGATGCTTCACCTTCAGCTGGTGTCCTGGGTGGGGAGGGTGACCTTGTAATCCAGTGTAATCTGACAGCCTCGGGCAGTCCAGACTGGGTGGTGAGGCATTAGCAGGTGACCGTAAGCCTCAAGGGCGTCTGACTCCTGGGCTGGAATCCCTGGAGGAGTGTGCTGTCTCCTCTCAGGGACCCCTGCCCCTCCACCCTTCTCATCTCTACCTCTGGATCCCTTTCTCCGCACCCACATCTTAGGGGCCCTGCGGTGGCCTCACATTCTGTCAGTGACCTTGCAATTTCCCAGAAATTCCAGATTCTGCAAGAGGAATACTGCTGGGCCTTTGCACCTGATCACACCAGGCAGAGGTCACGGCCAACCCCCTTGGATCTGAGTCCAGCTCGGCCACTTGGCCGTGATGTGCCAGGTCACGGGGCCTGCCGGAACAGAGGTGCTGGCCCTTCAAATGCCATCACACGCTCTGTGCTGCTGCCTTCACTGAGTTCATTCAGCAGCTCTGCGCCGAGCACCTACAGTGTGCCAGGCCCTATTCCACGTCTCCCTGCCCTTGTGCAGGCACTTAGCCTCCAGCGGGATGGTGGGGACCTGTCTCTGGATATAGTGTCTTCCATCATGTGGGTATATGTGTGTCTCTGAGGGGGGTTGGCATTGGGGTCCACCTCTCAGCACACACATCTGTCCCCTGGGAAGGGGTCCCATATCTGGGTATGAGCATCCCCCCAGGGCTCCATGTCTCCTCCTTACCTGGCTCTCGGCCCCAGCTAGTGGGTCCCAGACAGCAGGAAGCCCACCCTTCGGGGCCGTGAAGGAGGGCCTTGCTCCTGGTGGCCACGCAGAGTGCCAGCGCTCCTTCTCCAGCCATCGCCTGG